CCATTTAGAACCGGTTCCAGCTCCTTCCCTCTGCCCGTCCGCACATCATCAAGATGAAGAGCGAGAGGAGAAATTCTGGGAGTTGAAGTCCACAAGTCTGAACACCCTAGTTTTTTTTTCTAAAGGGTTAGGGTGTGCAGGGGTCTTGAACTTGACAGCTTTAAGACTTGCCTGCTTCAAATGCCAGAGTTTCTGAGCCAACATTTTGGTTGCTAAGCAAGAGGATTGTTAAGTGAGTTTTACCACATTTACAAGTTGGCCATGCCCACCCAGTCACATGGCCAGCAAGCCACTCCCACAAAGCAGGCCACACCTACAGAAGAGAAGAGGTTCTAAAAAAAATTGAAACCCACCACTTGTAGGCTCCCTTCTCTTTTTTACACAAAAACTAAATGAATTTTGGGGATACAATAATACTGGGGTAGAAGATTATAATAGCTTTTAAAAGTATTTTTATATAGTTACATTAAAAAAACCTATAGTTAAACACAACAGTCAATATTAAAACAGCAATAATAATGGAAAAATAGGGGAAATATCTCTGCAAACATCTAATTTGAATGTATTAATCAAACTCTTTTCACTTATCCCATCATTGCAAGCAACAAAGTTTTAATTCTTGTAGCTTTGACAAAATTCTATAAAAGCAATTATTATAGACTTGTTTACTATGGAGTACTACAGTACTCCACTGGTTACTGGTGGCTTATGGGCTGGATGCATCATGCGCAGACCATGCCTACCCCAGCTCCACAAAGGTAAAAAATGTTGTGATATATCACAATACGTTGTGACGCAATTGAATTTGGCACTATTAGGTTAAAGCATCAGGCTAGGAACTAGGAGACTGTGACTTTGGCCACAAAGCTAGTTGAATGATCTTGGGCTACTAACTTTCTCTCAGCTCTAGGAAAGTGGCAATGGCAAACACCTCTGACAAATATTGCCAAGAAAACTGCAGGCACATGTCCAGGCAGTCTCCAAGAATCAGATACTATTGAAGAGAAGAAGAAAATTTTTTATGAGAGTGCCTTACAATAAATAGTCATTATAACCAAACAAGAAAAGCTAGGCAGGAAGAGCTACAGAAGAAAGCAATATGAAATATTAAGCCACATAAAACCACTTTAGTCTTCCCATAATTATAACCCTTGTGCCATCTGATGAAATATGTGCCATAGAAATCACATCAGATGATGTGTTGCGGAGAAGTTTCTATCTCAGCTTACAATAATCACATGTACAGCAAGACATTACCTGTGAAGTCAACCAGAAGAAGCTGAAATATGACTCGTTTACCCTTTGGCTTTCACTGCTTCTGTTGTTTAGTACAAAATGGGATCTATGAAACAGCTAACTGAATTGATCAGCGTTGCCATTTCACATCTTGGTGCTATTCAAATGTGTTCAGAGTCCAGCTGCCACCAGCAACAGCAGAGAGTCAGGCATTTTGTAAGAGAGGAAATGGCTGAAAAGAGACGAGTGTCATCCTTCCTCTGCTCCCTTCTTCTTCCCTTTGTTGTCTTTGTACCAGATAGAGTCGAAATGGGAGTGGTAAGAAGTATCAGAATTGGAGACAAGTGAGAAAGGTTAAGAGTTGAGTGATCTTCCAGAGATGTCTAACAGCAGTGACGTGCGGTGAGGTTTATGGCTGGTGAGGCAGTTGGACTAAACAATAAACAGTAACAGAGTTGGAAGGGATCTTGGAGGTCATCTAGTCCAACCCCCTGTTTACGCAGGAGACCTGGAAGACCTCCAAGGTCCCTTCCAACTCTGTTATTCTATTCTAAATTCTGGATGATGCACTCTTCCTTCTCCCTCCCCATCTGCTTTACCTCTTGAGCAATTCATTTGTCGAGCGTTTCTTCTCTTTCCCCAGTCGAATGTAGGTTTTTCCCCTCTCTTTTTCAACACCCCAATCACTTTTGGGGAGAAAACAAACTTTTATAAAGGAGTTAAGTTCCACCCATCCCAAAAACCAGCTGTATCACGGCAATCCCTAAAAAGGACAACTACTACCCATCAGGAAGAAGAGAGGTGAATTTTAAAAAGCTGGGAGCACGTAGAGGGACTTGATGGGAGACAGCACTTTTAAGGGGCCGCTAATCCAGATTAAGTCATCCAACACCCACCCACACACACAAACAGACACACAAAGATCCAAACAGACCTGGGAAGAATCTCTCCTTCTCCTTTCTCTGTGTTTTAAAGGCGGCTTTTCCCCTTGCTTTCCGCTTCCTACCATGTAATCGAAGCCCTACCACAAGACTAGCAAGGGTAGACCAACTAATCCAGGGGTGGGTTTCAACCGGTTCACGGCGGTCCCCGCGAACCGGTTGGTCGGCGAACCCGGAAGTAAGTAATTTCCGGGAACGGCGAAGGGCCCACCCGCCCACCTGCGCTCCTTACCTGTCTTTGAAGGCTTCTGCACTTCCACGTAGGCGCATGGCACATACAGCGCCTGCGCGATTCTGCACGAGCAGCTGGAGCATCATGCAGGCGCTAAGACACATGCGTGAACTGCGCACGTGCACGAGGATGCCGCCAGCCCCGTTCCAACCGAACCGGTTGGAACAGGATTAGCAACCCACCACTGAAGTAATCAGCTCTTGGAGCGGATGGATGAATGAAGGGTAGGGAGCCTGAGATACTGAAGGCTGCATGTAAAGGGAAGAAAAAGAATACGGTACTAGCCTGAGAGGTTGAGCTTGCTGCTGCCTCACCGTGGATGACTCTGCTTAACTGTT